TGAAGAGACTTCATCATTATGAACGCTGATCTCGCTTTTCCTATGCGTTGTTTTATTTCACTGGAGTGATCCCATTGGCTGTTAATGTTGGTACCAAGGTATGTGTAGCTGTCCACTCTGTCAATTGGATGTTGGTTAACCAAAAGCTGTGTATTTAATATTTCGCGCTTACTGACTACCATGTACTTTGTTTTCTTCGTATTAAGATCAAGTCCGTGTTCTCTACTTATATGTGATATATGTGACATTATTCTTTGCAAACCGTCCAGTCTATCTGCAAAAACTACTGCGTCGTCGGCATATCTAATGTTGTTTAGACGCATTCCGTTGACTAATACGCCTTCGTCTCCCAGCGCTTGCTCGAAGATATATTCAGAGTGTATATTAAATAACACCGGGGACAGAATGCATCCTTGCCTCACTCCTCTATCTATGGAGACTGCCTCTGTCAATTGATCATACACTTTAATATTGGCTGTTTGGTTGTAATATAAATTATAGATGATTCTCAAGTCCCTATCATCTAACCCCACTTCTTTCAAGATGTTTATAAGTTTATCATGTTTTACTCTGATGATATCACTAATTGATAAATATATTAATCCAAGGATAAACGAATCGTTTAAAAGATACAATTTTATCATCAGGTTTCAGAAAGAAAGAGAGTCGTTTAAGCAGTTTCTTGCTTAAAGTTAAACTTTTAAGGCAGGCAGTACATTTTCATTTTCTCGAACTGCTAGATTGACACAATTCTCATTATTTGGTAATAGTTTTCTCCAAGACTTCACAATTGTTGAAGAGTTTACAGACTCTTTACAGAGCGAACTAACTTTCTTCTGTAGTTTCTCTTCATAGACACAATGACGCATTGGTCCATAGGTTGACTAATGTTAAAACTACAAGATTCTTTAAACTCATATATCTCATATAACTCATATATCAAGGCAGAGACCTAGTTTAGAAAATAATAAGTTTTCATTAGTTTTAAAAATGCTCTGATAAAGAAGAGAGTCAAATCTCTGACCCCTGGACTGTTTTGCAGTTTTGTAATATATTTTATCAAAAAGTTGACATTATAACAAAAAAATGAGAACATGCGAATTAAAATCAGTCCACTGGACACAGATGTAGCCTTAGGCTACATTAAATACAGGATAAAAGGGCTCAAGCTCAATTTTGGCAGTCAAATTGGAATTGACTGACAAGATTGGAATTTACCAATACTCGTTTGAAAGATATTTAAAAATTCTTTAATTTACCTGTTTCTACAATGTTTATTTCGTTTGGTTAAATTTTGACAATTAATTTAAAACCATAAAATGTTGTTATCGTTCTTCTTAACCTATAAAATAATAAAACTAATACTTTGCTGTTTTGTAGATCATTTCATCAAAAAGTTGACATTCCAACAAAAAAAAAAACAAATAATATTGTAAGTTAACATCGGTACAGTAGGCTAAGAGATATAGTTTTTAAATATAGGGTAATAAGAGGTGCCTCTCTTTTGAGGGGCTATCTCAGGCCCATAGGCACCAGGAGGGCTAAAAAAATGGCTATGGACTACTTTTTTAGGTTAAAACTTTAAAAACTGGTAAAAATCCACAGCACCCCCATGCTGCTCATATGTATATATATATATATATATATATATATAATATATATATATATATATATATTTATGAAGTGCAAATTTATTTGCACCAAATACAACAGCCTGATTACTGATGAATTAAAAAACAAAGTAAGAACTAAAAAAGGCTCCGGGAGACGATGAAATTCTAATTGAAATTTTAAAAGAAGAAGGGGAAAAGATAAAAGACTACCTAAAGATACTTTTCAATAAATGTTTGTCTGAAGGACAAATACCGCAAGAGTGGAACAAGGCAAATACAATTCTAATATATAAGAAAGGAAATAGATCCAAATAAGCTAACTATAGGCCAATATCTCTCCTGTCACAAATCTATAAAACTTTCACTAAGGTGATCACAACTAGAATAAACAACAAATTTGATGCATACCAACCAGTTGAGCAGGCAGGATTTAGAAAGGGCTACATCACAACCGACTACCTTTACACTCTTAAAATATTAATAGAAAAGACCAACGAATACAACCTTCCAATATAACGAGCGTCTGTTGACTATGAAAAAGCGTTTGACAGCATAGAGCTATTGGCAGTGGAAGAAGCGCTAGTTAATTGCCAAATAGATTCACTGTATAGAATGTTAATCCACAATATATATCACAACGCCACTATGAGAGTTCAGCTAGACAGAGATTTGCAAACTCCATTAATTAGAATTTGTAAAGGTGTCAGACAAGGGGATACAATATCACCCAAACTATTTACTCTGGCGTTGGAAGACATTTTTAAATTTATAGACTGGGACAATAAAGCGATTTGTATAAACGGGAAATATTTAAATCATCTAAGAAACATCTAACAACTATGAAACAACTACGAATAATGATTTCATACCTAGAAAAAACATCTCTTGAGAAAAAACTAAAAATGAATCTAAAGAAAACTAAAATAATGACTAATACAGAAGACAGATTAGTAATTACTATAGGTGAAACAAATATAGAACACGTCCAAGAATATATTGACTTAGGACAAGCTATCAAAGCATACAAAAGTAACCAGACTAAAGAAATAACCAGAAGAATAAGAATGGGGTGGGCTACATTCGGAAAACTCTCATATACTATCAAAAACCAAAAAATACCTTTAAAATTAGGAACGAAGGTATTTAATGCATGCGTCCTACCTGTTCTGACATGGTGCCCAGACGTGGACGTGTACCAAGAGCAACAGATAGAATAAAGAAAACTCAAAGAGCTATGGAAAGACAAATATTGGGAATATCGTTGAGAGATAAAAAGAGGAACGAGTGGATAAAATGCAATGAACATGCATTGAGATTAATATAGAAATGGGCTGGGCATAACGAAAGATATCAACATGGAAGATGGAATAAAGAAATTGGCCACTGGAGACCATATATTGCAAAAAGGTCAAGAGGTCGACCGCAAATGAGATGGAAAGATGACATGGAGATAAATGAGAGAGGCCTATATTCAACACATGAATAGATTGTGATGAAGTTTAAATTTCTAGACATCATATTATCTAGCTAGGGAAAGCTCGAAACGAAAGTGGAAGATCAAGTGAATAGAGCAAACAAAGCAGCGTATAGAGAAATAAAAATATCGAAAAAAAAATAAAAGGCAGTTTACAAAACAGTCATCAGACCAATAATGACGTACGCAGCAGAAACACGACCCAACACGACTAGAAACAGCAGAGATGAAAACGCTTAAGAAAGAGATGAAAAATTAATTGTAAGGCACTATGGGACAGAGCTTGAAGCACAGATATACAACGTATATGCAAGGTGGAGAATATCAAGGACTGGGTAAGAAATAGAATATGTGTCTTCCCAATAGAAAGACAATCAGTAGGAAGAACATGTAAACGATGAAATTACAACTTACTGTGGGCACATTGCAACACAGATGTGTCTACATAAACAAAAAGAAGAAGAAATACAACAGTTCTATTTAAAATCTAAGCGCAATATTAATATTTTCTCACTTTCCTGAAAAGTTGTCATAAAGCAATTGAGCCTAGTTTTCAAACAGATATTTAATAAACTTTAAAGAAACACTCATATCAATAGGGGTAAATAAACAGAAACCTTACAAAAATTATTTTTGTATCTCTGTTCAGTATATCCATAGCTTTTGCAGTACTGTCCATAAAGAATACGGAATTCCATTGCATTACAAAACTTCGTAAAGTAACTGTTGGAGAACTATATCTCCAAACCAATAATTCTATTTTGTATCAAATAATTCTATTTTCGCGTCGGTTACCTAAATAAATCCAGTCTACCTAGACCTTGTTTCTGAGAATGTTAATCCCCGCCCACAGCGCCTACGTGACGATAGACCGGCTTTTCAAAATGCATAAACAAAAAAATATTCCAGCGGGGCGAGTGATTAAGCGACTTTCGTAGGGCTAACATCTATATTTCAAAAGTTCGGAGAGGATTCTCCACGTTGCAGTTTACGCAATTGACCGGGAAGCCGTAATATGTGAATAAGTGTTATGGTGTTTTCGCTTTCGTTCGCAAATTGTAATATTCAAATTAAGTTCCTACGATAAGTTACACACTCAAATTTTATAAGTTCTATTTCTTGCCCTTTCTTATTTCAATTACAGTTTCTTTCTAAACAAGTAATTGTTTTATTTTACTATATCAATTCAACAGGCCAGATAAAAGCAACTTTGAAAGTCCATTTTAGTTTCTCTACTGAGCTGTCGAAGGCTAGCGGACTAATTGGGCTTACAGCAAGAACAAAGCCGCTGAAAGAGACACTGTTGCATATAAGCCTCTCCATGGAAGGGATGTTGTAAACCGGCACCCTCCAGTAACTTCTCATCGATTTTGAGTAATTGACAAAAATATACAATTTTCAATAAGCAGCAATACCGACAACAGCAATGATTTAGTACACCGAAACTCTTTCTGCTTAAAGGGAAATTATTTGAAGATAAATTAAATAAGATAAACTATATTATGATAAACCATTATTATGAATATGTATATATAATATATATATATATATATATATATATATATATATATATATATATAAATTACAACGATTTCTTATTGTAATTTTTGAATAAGAACCAACAATTGTCTTTTACTACTTAGTTATAAGTACGTTTAACTCTTTTTTTTTATTATTTTCCTGTTAACTTAATTGTTATATAACGAAAATTATATCAAATCTCTTATGTAACCAGAAATATAATAAATAAAGTATGATCCTCTCGACATTCTCCCAGCAACCTCAAAACATCCGTGCCTTTACCACCGTCTGGGTAACTTTCACATTTCCCCTTTCTCGCCGGTAATGTGCCCTTCTCCTACACTCTCAAGACAGATCGTCTTCAAGAATCTTCTTCTCGAGACATCGTGGTCTTCAGTATTATCGTTTCTCATACTTTGGATGCGCGCCTCGCGAGATTGGCCACCAAGACGCGAGAATACCTTCAATGAGTTAATAATTACTGTTATTAGTAGTATAGTGAAGTGACAGTGATTGTGTGGTGAGAAGATACTTTCGTGAGGAAAATGAGGACTTTAATTATTAATGTGAGTTTTCTTTCATTGTATTTTGTTGTAATGCTGGTAGCTATCTAGAAAGTTGCATTGGGATGCTGTTTAATTTTCAAGCTTTGAGCCATTTTTCTTATTAATGATATAATAATTATAAAGTTGTATACAAAATCTTCACAGGTTTTTTTTATAATACAGGTTTTTAATATATTTTTTCAACCTTTTATTGAAGTCTTTCAACGTATAGAAAAGTTAATGGTTTAGTGCTCCATAAACGTAATTATTGTATTTATATTGTGCTATTAAAATAATAACCTTTTAATATAGAGTATTAGAGTAAATATTAAAGTAGATATTGATAGGGATATTCAAGGGATACAATTTTTTTATCAATACGTGATCTAACAAAATAATCGCAATTTTTTTGATATAACAATTGATTTTATACAAATTGACCCAAAAGTCTGGAAACGGCCAATTATCTCGTAAATTACCAGACATAATTATACAAAATTTAAGGTATACCTATTTTGGGAACAGAGATTTCATATTTGATATTTGCAATGTTGCCAGATTTGCTGTTTCTCTTATATTATTAGTAACTTTGGTTTTTCAAATTCATCACCCTGTATATTCACTCATTATTGGAATCTTCTTTTCAATAAGAGTTCAAACATATGTAACACTTATGATTTTATGTAGTTTGGAAGATCTTAAATACATAAAACCTAAAGTCTGGCAAAGCCTAATTGTCTCAATAAATTTTTTAATACTAACTATTCTTAACTACATTAAAACGTAACAATTGATAGATTACAACAATTTTTAACACAATGGTTACTGTATCAAGTGTTCAAAATGTGCTTCATTTGTGAGTTGACAGTACCCTAATCGATGGTAGAATGCGTCTACCACATATTTCCATGGTTGTCTAGAACTTATTCGTTGCCTTAGTTCTGCAAGGCTTCCTGGTTTAGTTTTGTAAACTGAATTTTTCAAGTATCCCCAACAAAAATAATCTTTAGGATTGAAATCAGGTGAACGTGAAAACCATTCAATTCTACCTCGTCTACCGATCCATCGTCCTGGAAATATCTCTTCTAAATACCCCCGAGCATTTACTCCAAGATGAGCTGGAGCTCCATCTTGCCCATATCTAATGTAGGTACACTTTCATTTCTAAGTAACATTTCGTAACTATCTGAAGTTAAATTTCCTTCGATAAACAATGGCCAAATTAACTGAGTACCTACTATACCTGACCATTCATTTTATTTTTGTGGTCTTTGAATTTGGTTTTCACGCATTCAGTGTGGATTTACGTCACTTTAGTACCTTAAATTGTGTCGATTTACACTTCCATACAGTGTAAAGGCTGCTTCATCGGAAAAGCATATTCTGTTAACGAAATTTTTATCCTTTTCCATTTTATCCATCATTACCTCAGTAAACTCTAATCTACGACCAAAGTCATCTTCACTTAATTCTTGCAATAAGTTAATTTTGTATCGTTTAAAAATATTCTTATGTAATACACGTAAGATTGAAGAACGACCTACACCATGTACTTGAGCAACCCTGCGTGAGGATGTATGTGGATATTCAACAAAACTTTGCATTATATCTAGTTTTAATCCATAATTTTACAAAATTTGGTGTAAATGTTCGGCGTTATTTAGAAGAGGTATTTCCCGGACGATGGATTGATAGACGAGGTAGAATTGAATATCCTCCACGTTCACCTGATTTCAATCCTAAAGATTATTTTTATTGGGGATACTTAAAAAATTCAGTTTACAAAACTAAACCAGCAAGTCTTGCAGAGCTAAGGCAACGAATTATCAATGAATATCGAATAATTTCTAGACAATCATGGGAAAATGTGGTAGACGCATTCTACCATCGATTAGAGTGCTGTCAACTCACATTTTGAACACTTGATAAAGTAACCATTATGTTAAAAAATTTTGTAATCTATCAATTGTTACATTTTATTGCAGTTAAAAATAGTTAGTATTAAAAAATTTATTGAGACAATTAGGCGTTGCCAGACTTTAGATTTTATGTATTTAAGATATTCCAAACTACATAAAATCATAAGTGTTACATATAGTCAAACTCGTATTGAATAGGAGATTCCAATAATGACTGAATATTTAGGGTGATGAATTTGAAAAACCAAAGTTACTAATAATATAAGAGAAATTGCAAATCTGGCAACATTGCAAATATTAATTATGGATTCTCCGTATCCCTAAATAGGTGTACCTTAAATTTTGTACAATTATAACTAGCAATTTACGAGATAATTGGCCGTTTCCAGACTTTCGAGCCACTCTCTATATCTTACCTTCCCAGCACATTTATTACACTGACATTTTAAAGTAGAAATTCATTAAATCTCAAGAAAATCTCTAATTTTCTAGTGATTATTTATGTTTAACAATAGAGATGACAATTACCAGTACCTCAATTTGACTAATAGAGCAAATTAGGCCCGACTCCAAAAGTCAATTCATGAATTTTGGAAAACTCTTTCTTCTTTGACAAATAAAGCTCCTTCTTATTGATTTTCTCAATAAGTTATATTGCCATATATTGTTTGTTTGGACTGTTTTTTTTTTGTAAAGATAATACTAGATCAAGCTTTTATCTATGTTTCTAAAACAGATTCTTCTAAGTTTCACCATGTCCGTATTAAATCGAGTGGTCATGGAAAATGTTTTTAAGTACACACCAGTTTATCGCTCTTACGTTTTTCTCCTACTTTGATGCCTTATTTTTACAACTTCTTAGGTCAAAGTTTTATTGTTCCATTCTCTTAAAGCGAAAAGATATGTGGTTCTGTACAAAGGTGAAAGAAAAAAGCCATATCACAATACTTAATTTTGCTTATAACTGAACGGCTCAGAAAATAACAACCCTTAAACAATAAGGGAAACATTTTATGACGAATTACAACAAATAGTAGAACAAGTCAAAGGAAAGATGATAATATTGGGGGATTTTCCTGTTTGAATAGGCAATCAAGTAATACCCGCAATTAAGCAAAAACATAATGAGAATGTTAACAACGGAAATGGAGAACTGATGATGAACTTCTGCACATATAACGAACTTAGTATAAACACATTTTTTGACCACAAAGACCAACACAACACATGTAGGTAGCGACCATAGCCTAGTATTATGTAAAATAAGAATTATCATGAAATACTTCACATTCAAGAGAGCGGCGCCAACACAAGCAAAAATCAAAGTCGACGTATTAAATACGGAATCCACGGAATACTTATACAGAAAAAAAATATCAGAGAAGGTTGCAAGGAATGAAATATTAGAAAACGGTAACATCAAGGAAAGTTTGGAAAAATTCAAAAATAATATATAATTAACGCAGCAACAGACGACAAAATCTCTTGGAGAAAGAAAAGTAACCATCACTAACGTATAAAACAAAAAAACCCCATGGCTTAGAGAGGAAGTGAAGACAAAATGTGAAGAAAAGAAGAATGCGTTTTTACAATACAGACCACAACAAGTACAACAGAAAAAACAACAACTATAAACGAATTAAAAATGAAATAAATACTTTAGTTGGAAGAATAAAAAGGGAACACTACAAGAGCTTCTCAAAACAGAGGGAGCACGATTTCTACGGAATACAAAAAGAAATATGGAGAATAATATTGGATATTAAATAATAATGGACGATATTAAACCACCAACACCAGAGGTGACCACCATCGAAGAAATATATATTGAAGAGGAAAAGGTAAAAAAAACATTGAGGAAATTTAAATATAGAAAATCGCCAGGAAAGGACAGAATAGCGAACGAACTTCTAAAGTAGTGTTGCCCCAATGCAAGAACAAGACGAGACTTGGACAGTCTTGGTCTTCGTCTTGCGCCAATACACCTGGTCTTGGTTTGGGTCTTAATATTGCGCTCTCAGTCTTGGTCTTGGTCTTGGTCTAGCAGCAAGAGTCTTGCAAGACTTGCAGTTACCCATAAGCTTATTGCTATTTAGTAAACGTTACTTTAGATCTCAGAACAACGTAACAGACTAGGTACATTTTAAGCTTGAATTAACATAGCCATAATAAAGACCAACCAAATTAATAATTGTCTAAACAAGAGACACTGTTTTTCATTTTGATTTCAACCTTTCTATGCTGACACAATTTATACAAAGCAATTTGAGATTAATGAATTATTTTGAAAAACTCATCTTATTTGCTTTTAGCTCTTTTAGATCTATGACTTTAACTCTCATTACTCCGACTAAAACTGTTTGAATCTTCAACTCATGTCAAATTGTAAACTTGTCTCTTCGAGAAAATAAGGTCTCGCAGGCTAGTCTTGTTCTTGCTCAAATCTTGCACGGTCAGTCTTGGCTTTGGTCTTGCTAAAATTAGGCGGTCTTTGTCTTGGTCTTGGTCTTGATCTTGCAAAAACGCAAAAAAAAGAAGAACAAGACCAAGACTGTAAGACCAAGACAGATTTTGGGTAACATTATTCAAAAGTAGAACTGATCAGATCTGACCAAATAACTATTAAAACTAATCCAAAAAAAAACAGAAAACGGGTGTGGCATTCCAGTGGAACTGCCGGTAGAAATTATACACGCGTTCGCTGTTACAAATTTATATGGGAGTCAATCTGCATAATCATTACATATGTAATGCTATAGGTAAGAGAGAGCAGAAAGAGAAACAGAATTAGGTATATAGGTATATGGTGCATCGTTTGCTGTATATAAACAACATTAGACCTGTAATAACATTATTATAACAGCAAATTTACTAAGATGGAAATTGGAGCTGGAAGGTCAGATAATAGAACAAGTGATGAACTTTAAATATCTAGGCATTACAATGTATAGCTACGGAAACCTCGAAATTGAAGTGGAAGATCAAGTAAATAGAGCAATCAGAGCCGCAGGTTGCCTGAATGAACCAATTTGGAGAAATAAAATATCAGCAAAGAAAAGAAAGGCAGAATTTACAAAACATAGGCGACAGAAACACGAGCCG